TAATAAACATTGCGGAAATGATTTATTCATGCTCTGTAAAATCTTTGTAAAATAGAACAGTTTGACATTACAGTGGTAATCAACTTCCCACGACTTAAATTAAAATGAAACAGGTGATAATCTTGCAAAGCAAGGAGCTAAACAAGAACAATTCATTGTTGGGAGGAGTAATTTGACAGATGCAATTATAGTAAAAGCATTTTTATTGAGAACTGAGGAAAAAGTGTAAATCCATCTGTTATAAATGACAGTTGGTAATCCTTGGAGAGGATCATACAAGCAATACAACATTAATCCAGACCCGTTTACTTTCAGGCTTGCAGAAAAACTTGTTCCACACTTTCTCATTCTGGGCTTACCTGCTAAATAACAATCTTTAGTCTGAAAACTGCTGAAGCATATCCTTTGAGTATGTGTATATAAGCAAATATGATATCCTAAATACGTCTTCTTTTTCTTCTCATTCACCAGCTGTAAACTCTGGCAGAAAGTTGTTTGTCCACTAATATGACTAATTTGTATGTAGACTGATGGTTCCTTGTCTCTTAGGTAGATGCACTCGGACTTCGAAGGAAGCTCCCAATTAGTTGACTCTTACAACATGCTTTTAAGTAGGCAATGTTATTGTCATAATACATGACAAAAACTACCAAAATGTCTGACAGTCCTTAGGCAAACAGTAAAGCATTATGTTTCAATCTGGATTAGATATTTTAGACTATGCAGAAAGAATAAAAAAAGAAAATTATAAAGAAGAATGATGATAGATGACAACAGGTTAGCGATTAAAACTATTTCAAAACCCTTTCTGATTGTCATTAGGTGGCATTAAAAACCACCACTATGTACTTTGTTTTTTTTTCCCTTTCCTTCATTAAATTCATTGTATCTGAAGATCCAGTATGTATAAATCATTACAGTAGCCAAATTAAAACAGTGGGTTAAGGTCAGGTTGAGCAGTGATAAAAAATTTTTATGCATTTTAAGAAGAGAAATATAAACTTTAGAACTAATTTTGTTTGCCACTAGGTATTGCAGTATAAACACATGATAGGTAGCCAAGCTAGGTCGCGCAAGTTGCTTGTTATGCTATACTGTTGTTGTCTTAGGCTACGAAGTGCATGGGGGTTCATAGCGAAGGCAAACTGATGTTGCTTGGTGCAACAAAACCTGGCATATGATATCACAATATCTAGTTTGAGAATGGAGGTGGAGGCAGTTACTGCTGCCTTCTGCTGGCTTGAGAATCATCTCTACACACATGCCGTCATTGTAACTTACTGACATAGCATGTTGAGAAAGGTGGAGACAGGCATGCTCCGTGCAGAGTGGCAAGCATCTCTTCAAAGGTCTCGGGTAGTTGGCATATTTTAAATATTTTCTTCAGGCTATGCTGATGTGTTGGGAAATGAGCAAGCAGATAGGCTGGTCAGTTTTACACCCCTTGGTGGTAAACTGATGTATGACAAGCTTGATGTTGTCAGGGCCCTTTAGGAGCGAGTGAACAGTGCCGAGGCACAGATAGATCATTATGGTCTGAGGAGAATGGCACTGCGGAATCATAGGATTTTAGCCGCTGAAGATGAGGATGAAGTGCTTATAGTGGTGTCTCGAGTGCAGTGATGTTGATTCCTAATTTAACATTCAGCATTTTGTTGTCTTAGGCTATCATTGACTTCTTCAGTCCATTTTTTTTTTCTAGGAAATAATTATTGTTTTTATCCAAGAACACAAAATATTTACAATTATACTGCCAACGAATTAACCACTGTATGTATTAACATTTCTGTTTATTATTAGACTGAATAGACTAAATAATAATCTTTTTTATCCTGATATATGTATATTTTTGTTCTGCATCGAAGTGCACAGAATAGAATGTTTATTTTTAGATACATCCAGAAACAGAGAATACACAGAATAATGTTGGTACTTCATCAGAAAATTCATAATTTTGTTACCACTTCCAATAACACAGAAAATTTTGGTACTGCACTAAAAAAAAACCTCAAAATAGTATTTATACTGCACCCAAAAACATCTAATAATTTTGATACTCCATACAAAAACACAGAATAATTTTATGTCTGCATCCATGTAAAAATAATGTCATTGTAATTCTGTGTACATACTTATTGCATTCCTGTCTGTTCTTACACAGAACAGTTATAATGCTACATTTATGCACACTAAGTAAATAGGTTTGAATCCCTGTGAAGTGAATAATTAAAATTTACCTGGAACTCCATCCTGTAAATGAATCATCATCATCATCAAGTACCTTCCGACTGGCGTGGGCGAACACGTCTCTTCACAATCTGCGATTCGCAACTGCGTGTATCAGTTGTGTGTGACACTGTCCATACATACAGACAGTGACTGTTGCCATCAGAATGGGAACTCTTTACATGCTGCTGAAGATGGGGATGGAGCACTTATGGGAATGTCCCGAATGCTAGGATGTCGATTCTTAGTTCAACATTCATTCAGCATTCAAGTCACAGACTAGAAAAAAAAAACCTCAAAGAAACTACCAGTGAAAATGAGATGTTCTGTACCCTAAGCTTGAAATGTCTCACCTTATGATGATGATCACCATCATAAACCACTTCTGCCGTTAAGCGTCGTGGGGAGGAATAATTTGCGATCCAGTGGACATTGGCTGCCACTGGCTATTGTCATGCCGTGAAGGCGTAGAGTGTCTTTAATGTTGTTGATCCATGTTTTCCACGGCCGTCCAATTGCTCTTGTAGCTGATCTTCTGAGATGTAGTGCTTGTGATGGTATTTGATCTTGCTGCATTCTAACGAGATGGCCAAACCACTTGATCTGCTGTTTCTCGATGAATCTAAAACAAGGTGTCGTTCCCACAATTTGCCTGATAGTTTCATTATTCACTCGATTTTGGATGGTTAGGTTGGCTGCTTTTCTCAGGCACCTCATCTCGCAGGTGGTGATTTTGCGTATATGGGCTTTAGTGTCCATGTTTGGCACTGGTAACTTAATGTTGGAATGAATATGCTGTTTATAGCCTGTCTCTTTGCACTCCTAGTTATGCTTGGATGTCTTAATAATGGTGACAGTTGGTATATAAGTGCAATTGCTTCCTGACATCTGGTTTCTATTTCTCTATCATTTCTACCATCTTCTGTGATCATACTTCCTAGATATTTAAACTCCCTAACTTGATTCAGAGCAGAACCATTCAGCTGTATGTGTAGTGGGGCAGGTGTTCTGCTAACTTGCATTATTTCGGTTTTGTTTACATTGGTCTTCATGTTGTATTTACTGCATGCTGAGTTTAATCTGGTAATGTGGTCTTGCAGCCTATCTTCTTCAGGGTAGAGCAAGCACTGGTCATCAGCAAACAGTAGTTCATTTAATGTGGGTGAATCGATAACTTCTCTTGACATGTGTACTTCATCATGATTATAAAGGTCTGTGTTGTCTGTATCAGAACTTGCTTCTTTAGATATTCTGTCTATATAGATGTTAAATAAAAGTGGGGAAAGCACACATCCCTGTCTCACATCTTATGATGATGTTACTTATTGCATTCTGACTTTACTATAGCAGAGGAGACTTTCTGAAAGAAGGTTCTAAACAAAAAATTAAAACTGTATTCGTCATCATCATCATCTTTTTAACACCACCACCATCTTCATCATCATCATTGTCATTATCAGGTTTGTGGCCAGATATTATAGGCCTTTCCAGATCTTACAATCTCCAACAGCATGTATCTGTTCATGCGGCTTTGCTTGCTTTGCAAAGAAAACAAAAATCATTATGTTCAACCAGCATCCACAGAGGGGAGAGCTTTAGGTTATAGTTGTGACCATGTTGTGTGCACCATATAAAATGGCTTAGATTACTTGCCACCAAGTAGCACTGAAAAGAATCCCAGTTTGTTTATGTGCTGACTTCCTTTCATGCCTTGAGAAATTGTTATCATGTCATGTGTTCCAGTTTTTCTTTTTTTCACAGTTAGGATATAAAACAGTGATTGCCTTTTTCTCTGAAGTTTGTCTTCAGGTTATAGCCGCTGTCAGAATGTCAACCACAGCTTGGAGGCCTTAGGAAATAGTTAGGCTTGTTTACTGAATGCTGAGCTAAGAAACAGCATTACTGCAATCGTGATATTCTCATAAGCACTCTGTCCTCATCTTCAGAAGCAAGCAGAGTTCCAATTCTGACAGTGTCAGTCGTTCTTTGTTGTTGGCACATTTTTGTCTTTTCATATTGTGTTATGAGGAGGTATGGATCTCACATCCCATGATAATGGCTGGTGTGTAAGCAAGTCTTCCACAAATATTGCATGGGATTTCAGGACCCTTGTTGCTATCATTCGTATAAGGTGTGCTTCTTCTCAGCTGGGCACTCATCATTTCTGTAGTAGAAGTTTGATTACATGGATTATCTATCCTTTCTTCTGAGTGTAGATTGTCGACCAGATCCCCTGGTCACTCCAAGCTGTACCATTCTCTCCTGATCATAATGGTCAGTTCATATTGTTTACTAGCTTCTTCTTTTTCTTCAGCATTCTGAGCCCTTGAGGTTCATTGCTGCAGATATCACCCGCCTCCATTCATCTCTCTGGTTGGCCTTCTCTTTCCATTTGAGACACCAGGTGTTGGCAGGTCTAATTGGATATTATCTAGCTTGCTATGTGTAAATTGACCACCCATTGGCTTGTTTTCTCATTATCCAGGATTCTCAGCTATATAGTAAAACCTGAATACCGTGTAGGATTTTATAGTCGTTCATTATGGTGGATAGATGCGCTGACTGTTTTAGTCTCTGAAAGTTTTTTTGTTTTTTGCTTCTGCCATGGTTTGGTTCCCATATTTACTTCATATATACAGTTTATAGTTCTGTCGCCCAGCTATTGATTTGGTGCTACAACTAACCAACTAAGAAAGGATGCAATAATTCTTTTTCCAATGTCCAGTGACCCGTAAAATGTTCAGCCGGTAATGATATTATTATTTATCACACAGAATAACCACATTTCAACATCCAAGTACAACATCATCACATTCCTGCCCAAGAACCTTTTTGAGCAGTTCCAGAGATTGGCCAATACCTACTTCTTGGGTCTGCTTGTCTTGCAGGTAGATATGTTCCTTTTCATTTAAAATATGTGAATTATTTTTGCTCTTATGATTATTTAATTCCTGACATTTGTTTAATTTGATGAGTTCATCAACTTATGATAAAAGAAATGTTATGAAAGCAGTGTTTAGAAACTTGATACAAGGAAACTTGATATGTAGGAAACTTGAAGCATATGAAGTAAAATATATTGATGGCACTTGATGTATGTATATATTTATGGCGGATGACACTTGTTATTTGTGTAAGTTTCAGAACAATGAAACTTGATGTGTGCAAGAAGAAAAAAGAATCAAGTAAATATATTGATGGCACTTGATGTATGTATATATTTATGGCGGATGACACTTGTTATTTGTGTAAGTTTCAGAACAATGAAACTTGATGTGTGCAAGAAGAAAAAAGAATCAAGTAAAATATTGATGGCACTTGATGTATGTATATATTTATGGCGGATGACACTTGTTATTTGTGTAAGTTTCAGAACAATGAAACTTGATGTGTGCAAGAAGAAAAAAGAATCAAGGAAAATATTTTGGCCACATTAAAACACATATCACTACCATAAAAACTATAAGGGTGGGTAAAGCTAAATATACCTGAGCAAGAGGTACACTGTGATGCAAGATAGTGGATTGCAGAGATGGAAAACAACTGTCTGAGAAAGTAAACAGAAGGGTGAGAGATAGTGTTGGAGACTCAGGTGTAGCCGACATGTACTGTATGTATAGACCACTCTTCTTCAACCACTGAGGGGTCATGGAAAAGACGAGGTGGGCCACTAAAAATGTCTGCCTAATTATGTAACAGGGTAGGATAGGCAGTTTTTCTCTTCCGTGGTTGCTGTGATGTCAAAGATGGAGATAACTCCACAGTGTAACATACAAGTAGAAGGAAAAGTGCTTAACCAAGTCAATAAATTCAAGTTGGGACATTTATAACATCAGATGGACGATGTACGACATAAATTAAGAGCAGAATTGGGCAGGCAAAGGCAGCATTTCAGAAGATGAAAAGTATCTTATGTAATAAATCACTCTCATTAAATATAAAAAAAAAAACAAGCACTGAAATGTTTTATCGAGCCTGTTCTTTGTATGGTAGTGAAACTTGAAATGTAAGCAAACAAATTAAGAAGAGTTTGGAGGCAACTGAGATGTTGTTTTTAAGAAGAATGTTGCCAACACCTTGGACTGCCAGAATAACTAACAATGAAACTAACTAATGGAAGAAGAACATTATACAACAATAAGAAGGAAACAAAGGAGCACTGCACTAAAAAATATCATGACGACGGCAAAGATCACTGCTAGAAGAAGCAGAAGCAGACTAAGACAGTTATGGCGCATGACTTAAGACAGTGGCATGGAGGAATATCATCAGTGGAATTGATCCAGAACACCAAAGACCTAGATCTGTGTAGATGCATGAACACCTACGCCAGCTGGCAAGGCACTTGGTGATGATGATGATGATAATAATTGCGGTGATAGGATTAACACATCAAAGATGAGAATGAAACAGGTACAAATTCCTGTACTCATACATTTTGTGTTTGTATTTTGTTTGTTGTCAGGTGGGCTTTGGATGTAAAAGAGTTGAGGAACACTGGTGAAGACTGCATCTGATTAATGAAGTCTAACACATATATAATAAGAATCTGTTGAAAAAAAATAAAAGTACATTGTTAGAAATAACAAAGTTACCTGGTTCTATGTTCAGACAGAAAAGACAGGAGACTTGTCTTTGATAAAATATAGTTATAATTGGTAATGCTGTTATTTACATTACATTATGATTACACATTTATTTTTTTCTGTTTAGGGTGGATGTTGTAAATATTTACTTTGTAGACTAATGCATATCTGACACTGAATTGTTAACAGATAAGTTATTAAACTTTTTTATTGTGTGAAACTGATTCAGTGTTATCTGTTTCTGCTTCTCTTCCTTCAGTTACTTCAGCACTTTGGGGGGTTGGGGGGGGGGGGGGGGTGGGGTGTTAATGTTTGCGCCTGGTACTGTGTAATTTAAGCTGATTTTAAGTTCTTTAAGGTTGTTTTTGCTATTGTTCCATATTTTGGTGGTCTTCCTCTTGCTCTGTGTTCATTATTTTTCTTCCGCGTTGAACTCTATAGCAGTTGGTACTAGGTGTTTCTTTTCAGATAGCCAGATCATATAGTCTGTTTGCTCTTTAATGAATTGCATGATCGGTTTCAGTCTTAGTCTTGTTTTGATTTCTTTGTTAATGTTATATTTTTGTGTGTACCAGCTAGGATAAAAATATATATTGTTGTGTATGTTAATATCACCATAAAAGAATATAGATGAAGCTTTTGTGTAGGCATTGTTATTTTATATAAGAAGCTTCTTGTGTTTGTGTGATTATGCAGCATTGTGGTTTAGAGTTTAGGGACTATGGTTAACAGTTTGATGGTTAACAGTTTGATGATCCTCGTGTACTAATATTCCACGGGTGATCCTCATCTGCATGGTGGCACTTTGCGTCACCAGGTGTTGATCACTTGTGTGATGTCTTGGGGTAAAACTACCTACCTATTAGACAAGGAAGGTGACAATATATTGGAGAATACAAAAACGAGCAGTGAATCACCAAACACTAAATTGAGAAATAAAAGGATTGAGGAAGCCAGGATACCCAAAAGAAACCATAAAATAGGCCAGGCACATCTGGATTAATGTGAAGGTTAAACTGCTGGTAGCAAAAAGTGTAAACACAGAAAAGAAGCAAATCTTCAAATGTTGCACTGCATGTTCAAATAAAATAACTTTTCTGCAGTTGTGAAACATTTATTACTCAGACTCTGCTTGAGAAGTGAGTGCAACAGCCTGAAGCTTCTCCTTAATCTCCACAAGTACAAGCTGTGAATTGAATAAGGCTTTACATATGCCTAATATTCTTTAAACAGTATATTTGTGTGTGTGTTTGTTTGTGTGTTGTGTGTGTGAGTGTGTGTTTGCATGCACGCATGTGTGTGTGTGTGTATGTGTATGTGTGTGTGTTTGCTTGCGCGTGCGTGCGTGTGTGTATGTGTGTGTGTGTGTGTGTGTGAGAAGTGGGGGTGAAGGGGGTGAGGTGGAATATGTATGACTGTGTGTAAGTATTTGGGACTGTATGACTGAGTGCGGGTGGATGTGTATCTCTTGGGTGGGGAGAGAAGTGTGGGGTGGAAAGAGGGGCTGTGCTGACTATTGGGTGAGGTGGAAAGGGGCAAGGGTGGTTTGCTGCCTGTAGGTAAGTGTCTCAGTCCCTCTGTTCAGTATTAAAAAAAAAAAAAAACAGAGATGGGGGTAGTATTGAGGGGGATTGTGTGTATGCAACAAGAAGTGTTTGCCATTTGAAACCAACAAACCATTTTCAGCTGACTTTTGAGTTATGTCAGAGCTTTGTGAGTATTAGTGAGAAATGAATGCTTGTGAATAATTGATTGTGCTGCTCCATCCAAATAAAGGATAATGAAATGAACACATATAAAGAAAAAAAGATATTTAGTAGATTGAACTTGATAAAAATGACAAAGTATACAGTTTCACTTAAAAAAGCCTTAGCAGTTACCACCTGACCAGAGCTGTGTGCTAAATACCAGACTGTTGGTGTAAAAGTTTTTCTAAGTATAACAAGTTAAGATTAGTAATTCCCTTTCTTTTTCTGCATACATCTTCACAAATAGCTCTCTGTGCTGTTCAGTTAGGCTGCGATAAGTACTTCTTTTTAATCCAGTACATTCATTTTTAAGGAAACCTTTAACTAGTTGTCTTTTACAGCAGTAGGCTCTCTCTCTCTCTCTCTCTCTCTCTCTCTCTCTCTCTCTCTCTCTCTCTCTCTCTCTCTCTCTCTCTATCTCTCTCTCTCTCTCTCTCTCTCTCTCTCACTCTCTGTCTCACTCTCTCTCACTCTCTCTCTTACTCTCTCACTCTCTGTCTCACTCTCTCTGTCTCTCTCTCACTCTCACTCTTTCTCACTCTCTCTCTCACTCTCTGTCTCTGTCTCTGTCTCTCTGTCTCTCTCTCTCTCTCTCTCTCTCTCTCTCTCTCTCTCTCTCTCTCTCTCTCTCACTCTCTCTCTCTCACCCCCACACACACAGAATGGGTTATAGAACCAACATGGGGAACTGAGTTAGAGCAAATTTAGTGTCATATTTTTTCTTATTCCTATACAATTTTAAATTCTTCTTGGCGTTCACCGGCTGTAAACTCTGGTGGAGTTTTGTTTTTTCGTCCACATCTGGACTTTGGTTCTGTTCTAGAACCTGAGTGTTGCATGCACATCTGTTTTACAGATCTGATTTATTTGTCTGCAGACTGTTGGTTCTTTGCCGCTCAGGCAGGTGCACTCTGACTTCAAAGGAAACCCCCAGTTAGTTGAACATGCAACACCCGATTAGGAACCTAGAAGAGTTGAAAAGGATATCTATGATAAAGTTAGGATACTACATCCATGAATGAACAAATCTAGCTTTGTATGCTTGGGAAATTGTGCTTGTTTCTTTGTAAGTCAATGTCTATGGTTAGGGTTATGAACACATTTTCATAAGTATGACATACTGGCTTTGATTCAGCTGCAGGCGATTAATCAGCACACCACTTTATATTGATTTTGATAATGGTGTCAGCATACATATATACAGAAACAGAGGCAAACTAAACGTAACATTGTCTACCAAATCCACAAACTGCCAACAAGTGCTGCTGTAAGTTGACAACATCTTATAAATGAAATGCAACTAACTTGTATAAATATATTTTTGTTATAATAGTTGATTCCAGCCATCTCTTCCTTGGAGCCTCTGGCTACTGTAATTCCTCTGGTATTTGTGCTCAGTATATCTGCCATAAAGGAAGCCATAGATGACTTTGTAAGTAGTTGCCCAAACTGGCAACTTGCCTATGACCAGTATTTCTCTGAATGAAATGCTTTGGTGGAGTTCTTTGCTACCTTGCTAACCATAACCAATTGTACTAACCAGATTTCGCTTGTTTAAACCCATATTATCATTGCACATCATATTGCCTGATTGCAGTTTATCAATAAGAGGTTACAACCTGGTGGGTTTTTATGGGCTGTGATATCTTGGCATGCATGGTGAAAGTGACTTGAAAACAAACATTACTGACATGTGGGTTTGAGTTTATATATATATATATATATATATATATATATATATATATATATATATATATATATATATATATATTGTTTGTTGTTGGTATGTTATGTCTACTTTAGAAAAGTGTTTATAATAATTTAATAGTTTTATGTTGCCCCTAGTGTTATTATCCCAAATCAACATTTTGGGCCTTTCCATGCACATTTAGTCCTACAGTGTAGTGGTCATACTAAGGTGCCTTTATAGTCTACAGTAATTTTAATACACTTTTAAGTATTGTTTGACTAATATTCTGGGAAGTTACAATACAGTAACTGACAACTTTTTTATTTGTGACAAATATTCAAGAGGTTTGAGGATCAACATCGTGGCACACAGGTAGTAACCCATAAGTGCTCCGTTATTTTTCGAACTCAAGTCTGAGTCCGAAGATGCTCAGCACATTGCACAGGCTCTGTAGCACTGGCAAGGATCCTAAAATACTTTAGGTAGATTTTTAACTCCAAAATTTTGCCCTGGCAGTGCTGTTAGGCTACTGTTTTTGATTTCCAACTGCCAAGGGATTTTTTTTTACTTGCACAGCAATGCACACGGGCATCTGATCTCACTTCCAGAAACCAGGGGGAATTACTTGAAATCCAAGCCCATGTGCAAAAATTCCCGCCCTTACTGGGGATTAAACCCAGCACCTCTAGCACTCAAGGCCAACACCATGCCTTGAGACCACGCAGCCCCCTAAATATGCAAGACTAAAAGGAAATTAATTTCACTGGCACTTTTACAATGACAAAAGCTTTTAGTTAAGATTGTTTTGGCTGGTTTGGTGTAATAAGAGCACTTACTACTAAATTAATTAATTCAGTACTGCTGCAGGAACATAAACATAAACAACTACTAAAACTAATAATTTGGACAAAGAAGAAAACACAAACAGTAGGTTGCAAAATGTATTGCCTGGCAAATTTTTCTATAACCCAAATGAATTGAACAGAATATCATTGTTTCTATTACTATCACTAACAAGCAGGCCCACCGTTCACCTTTACTTCCCAGGACTTTACCTGGTACCAGCTTAAGCATGGGTCGACCTGAAAGCTTTTTTTAAAAGAAAAACAAAAGGCCAGCTCTATCATAAAATAGAAATGGGCTTATTATTTTAGAAATTTTCGGCTATCTTTCGAATAACGGTCCCAAATTATCGAGGCAGAAAATATTCCCTAACAGGACCTCAGTCACGTGTCAATTATGCACTTCCGGTGACTTAAATTGCGCACTTCCGGCGACTTCCGCCACCACCGAGAGTATCCCCTCATGCGACGTGGATTGGGGCTAAACTAGATGGCTGGGACTCACGAGCAGCAGCTACCGCATTTCCTGCAGCTGCCTTAATTTGTGGTCTTGAAAATGATCTAGCTAATAAAAATCTACTTCATAACTTTTCTCATATCACAATGTGGCATGTACATCAACATGTTATGAAAGATTGATTATATTGACAACTGGGGTTCATATTTCACATGAAATGTGAATGCTGAAGTAACTGTAGCCCATTGTATGAGGTTGAATAAGTTGAGGGGTTAAAATCATAAACATGTGGCTACAAATTTTATTTTGATTTTTGAAACAATGCTTGTCAGTATATAATTTTCACTATCACCATCTTATGGCATTTATACATCACATAGGGCTCTCATATCCATTACAGTCATTTCAATGTCGTGTATGGAATCCAGTATGAATATCTTTGGCCTCTGTATTGTCTCAGTATAGCAAGATTCAGAAAGGCTGTTTAAAATACAAGAGGATAAATTTAATAGTTGGATTTGATCTCCTATGGCTCTTGTCTGTCTCCACACAATGGTGTTTTACCCAAGAAGTATATCACACAAAGCACACACTCTAGCTCTGGTGATGACCCTCAGGGATGCTTGCAGTGCTAATGCATAGAATGCTGCAAAAAGAACCGTTGTTTTCAGTTAACATCTTTAATCAGTTATATACATTCACATTCCCATGCAAGCGAGAGAACAGAGATAGATAGATAGATAGATAGATAGATAGATAGATAGATAGATAGATAGATAGATAGATAGATAGATAGATAGATAGATAGATAGATAGATAGATAGATAGATAGATAGATAGATAGATAGATAGATAGATAGATAGATAGATAGACAGATGGATGGATGGATGGATGGGCGGGCAGACGGACGGACGGAAAGAGGGAGGGAGAGAGAGAGAGAAATAAATACTTAACTACAATTGCTTGTAGTCTAATAAATTACAAGCACATATTAGTATTTTCAGTTGCTAATATGCCTAAGTTTAAAATATTTTTTCTAAATACTTATGCAGCAAGAAATATCTTGATTACCTTGTTTCCCTTATTCACTCTATCATGCACCATTTTGACTCAAAATATTGCAGTGTTTTGCAGGAACAGCTTTGTAATCCTGTCTGCTTTTCTAATGCATTGTATTATGGACATTCACAATTCTTTAGGTACTAAAGAGTTTTATTTTCAGCATTCTGAGACATATTACAGGACATCACAGACGCTGAAATCCTGACTCTCTCTGGAAACATGTAGTTATGACAACATAATTCTTGTTGATATGTCTTATCCATTTCATTTTTTGGTCCAATCTCTTATTTCTTCCCGAGTGCAGATGCTGCCAGTAGTGTCTTCTCTGACGCCATTCACCACATTTATTCCTCTTCTTGCTGTGCTGCTGCTATCTGTATTCAAAGATGCGTGCGATGACTACGTGAGTGTAGCTGGAGTCCATTGTTGTAACAGCAAACGATTTTTCTTTTTTAAACAGTGTTTTCTCACTTTGATGTCATTGTCAGATGCTGAAACCTATGCTTTGTCAGTGGTAACATGTTTTTTTTTTCAGGCTGAAGATATAAATGCTCAACCATATTAAAATGACAAAGCTTTTTTCCTTTTTCATTGTGAATCTTCGTTTGCATGCTTTTTGCATGTTGATGTCTTTTTAAAACAGTTTTAAAAAAAACTTTCCATTTATTTTATGACATTTATGTTTTCTGAAGCCTTATTAATTTTAGTGGCAGTTTTCATCAGTGAGTTATTGATATTTAAAAAATGCATCATTTTTGCTTGTAAAATAATGATTTTAAACCACCATTCTAAAAGTGTTTAAAAAATTTTTTTTTAAAAGGGTAATAATTATCTAGTCCAGTGAGAGGTAAATAAAAATTTGTAGAAGAATGATTAATTTAAAAATTTAAATAATGACATATAATATTAAGTAAAAAGTTAAGATCCCTTTTCACTCCTTTAGGCGCATCAGGCATATGGGAAGAACACCCATATTTTTACAGACCAATCAGCACTCGGTGGGTAATGTGGTCAGCATTACGCCGGCCATCTTTACTTCACTAGGACATACATCCTGCTACCCATTTTAGGTGGGATCGACCTGAGTGACACATAATATTCATAAAACGGACATAAACGGTGTTCTTTAATTATTTCATGAAATTAAAGGCATTTTAGAAGATCCAGATGATAGGATTGGGAATCCTATTATTTTAGAAAAGGAACAAGAAGAAGCATGCTGGATGTTCTAAGATGTTGGCATAGAAGTATATCTTCTTCAAAAGAACTGAACAAGAACATCAGTGACCTTGATTTGTGGGATGACGTGAATGCCTGGCAGTGCGCATGATGGTGATGTTCATCATAATGCTTGCCATTCATTACATTTTGAACAAACTTTGTATTTTGCCATCTTAGTTTCATTGTAAGATTTACTGTTTGATGTGCTTTAATTTGAAATGAAAATGTTAACTTTCATTCAGAAAGAAAAATGTTCATTTATGTTCAAATTTACTTTTATGTCATAAAACATACATAAGAATTAATATATCACACAGTTTTAAATCTATTTTTTGTTTTCATGTGCTGTTTCGTTTTTTTTTAAACCAAAGTATTTTTTTTTTTTTGGTTTTTTTTTTGGTTCTTCCTGCATGCACTGTTGTAATATTTATTTTCTTAAATTTCATTTTTCATGATATTTAATTTATCCACATTCCAGATTATAAAATAGAAAGATGAACTTATTTAGTGCCAAGAAACTTATGTATTTATTTCTTCATTTCAGCTGATATTATACTTTTTTGAAATTCTCTTGCCACATCCCAGGTTACATTAGCCAACTCCAAAGTTCTTACTGTAACATCTCCTGTCACATAGCATTATTATTTTAATTCCTCAGAATTTGTTATTATTAAAGTAAGTTTGTCTTATATTAAAGCAAATTTAAGCGTGATACTCAACAAGTTATCACTCAAAGCAAGATGTTGGAAACAAAAACTGTGAAGATCATTTATAGACTAAACTAGTTATCACTTCAAGAAGGAAAGGCCCAAAGTATAAACTATTTTTATTAAGCACAGCTCTCTCTCTCTCTCTCTCTCTCTCTCTCTCTTTGTTGTACCCCACCAGGACACCACACAAGCAATAAACACCTGGTGACAGAAAGTGCCATCATGTGGATGAGGATCATTTGTGGAGAGGTACCAGAAACCCCTTTCAGCTGTTAGGCCATATTGATGGCCCTGCTGTCATCAGGGTTCCTGGCAAAAGCCAGGGTGGAGCTTTGAATAACAACAAAATTGCTTCCCACATGGGGACGACTGTTATATGTATACAATTCTTCTTTTTTTACCACTCGTTAGGCAGGTGTAGAAAAGAGGGTTTTTTTTAGCCTGAAGATTTAGGACAGCATAGCATGTGCAGTTGTCACAAACTGTCATAGGAGTTGACTAATTGGGGACTTCCTTCGAAGACAGAGTGCATCTGCCTGAGCGGCAAGGAACAACCAGCTGCACACAAATAAGTCAGTAAGATGGATAAACATGCAAAACTCAGGCCCTAGCACAAAGCCAATGTCCAAATCGACAAACAGCCAGGACTTTCCACCAGAGATGAACAAAGAAAAAGAAACATTGTCAAACTTAATGGCAGGATCTGTCACCTTTACATTTTACAACTTTAATAATGCATAAGATTAATTATTAAATCATAAGCATTTAATTATCCCATTTTATTAATGCATGTCGTTATATTTCTCAGTGTTATACCAACCTTTTTGCATTTTTCTCTGCCATTGTCTGCATAGCATTAAAGATTTAGCTTGAGTCATAATGAATATTGCCACAGCTTAGTTTTACTGTAGTTAAACCCCTTCTTTTGTAGAATTCATTAACTTTCAGGAGCTCAGAATGCTTGATATGCTAGTTACCTATATACAGTGTTGTGTATTGATACGTTTAACAGTCCTGTGTGTGTTCATATTTGTTACTAATTATTCTAAGGTGGTAAATGAAAAATATCAAAATTAATAATAATTGATTTAGTGAATTAGGAGAGTTTCCTCTGATGGGTACAATGCACTTAATGGGAAAGGGAAAGAAATAATAATAATAATTAAAAAAAAAAAAACTAATCACATTCTTTATGTCAAATGCTTTTAGTGTACAAATAAATATAATAATGGTTGATTCTTTTAGAATTGGAAATAAGTAATTAGAGAAGAAAAAGTTTTCTTCTTCTGCCCTTTAGCCTCCACTGCAGCATAGGCCCTCAACCAGTACACATCTAGTCATCTTATCCTTTGCTATTGCATGTAGTTCTTCCCATGTCCATCCTGTCTTTTTAACTTAATTCTCTAGTTCCCTCTCCATTATTTTTGTTGCTCTGCCTTTATTTCTGTACTCCTGTGAGTTCCAGTGACATGCTTGTTATATTTATTGTTCTCATACTTTCTCAGTATGTGTCCTATCCAGTGCCAGCATCTCTTCTTCACCTCTTGATCAACTGGAATCTGTTTAGCTCTGTAGGCACATCATAAATTTGAAACTGCTGTAAAATGAGAGCTGGTAATAGTTTCCAAGCTTATGCATTGGAAATCTGGCCTGTCGGTATTTCAATACAGTGGAATTCATGTTCATGAGATGCCTTTAATTTGTTGGCTTTTTTTTTTTAAGCAGATGCAACTAATAAATGGCCTATCTGATTATTCATAGCCAAACTTACAAGAATCTGGTTCCATGTAGCATTATCAGCTTGACAAAAGCAATACTAGTTTACAGTTTCTTTGCTGCAGTGTGTCTGTAGTTTCTTTCTTTTCTGTTATCTTGTATGTTCTCATTAGATATTACCTCTTTCAGCCTCATGCAGTTATTACTTTAAGACTTTCTAACCTAAATTTGATTCAATTTTGAGTCCTACTATTTGAGTCATAATCAATTACAATTTGTATGCACACTCACATACATATTGCATAAACTAAAAAAATGAATGTAAAGAAATATAACTCATAACTTGTTTTTTATTATACTAGAACATCAGTTTGTACCATTTGTGATCCGTCCTCCAATTCAGCATTAACAGACTTAAGAAATGTCATAAAAAATTATACACAATATATTGAGCAATATTAAATATGTTGAAATTACCATGGTAGTTAAGAAATTAATACACATCACGCAAAACAGTTTACATTTATTAATCTATTAATTACATAACAGAGGTTTTACCCACATCATTTGTAGTTTCTTGTGTAAACAATTATTAGTAAATTGTAAAACTGTTTTGTGTTATGGTTTCAAGCAAACTTTTACGGTATTGTTAAATAAATGAATCTAATCCCTTACCTTTAGTTTAGCCAGTTTTCTAAAGCTATAAAGTACAGTTAATTGGCTTGTTAGTTTGGAGTCAAAAATAAACTGGAGTTACTGAGTAGAAATTGGGACTAAGTTAAGGCGTGAAACAAATTCTTTAATGTGTTTTTTTTAATACACTTTCAGTGTACCCTTAAAATAAATTTTTTATGTCTTTCATCTTAATGGGGGCTACCTTTAAACAGATTAAATTGAGGAAAAGATAAATGTGAGTATGTGTTTCTGAAAAGAAACCAGGAAGTTTTTTTTTTCTTACTAAAGAATAATAGTTTAACAAAAGTTCAGGTAACATTTGTTAGATAGTGTAGTGGTTTGTTTTGTAAACTAATTTTGGTTAGCTGGTGTAGTGGTGTATATTGTAAGAGCAAATTGGTTAGATAGTTTAGTAATCAGACAAGACAGATGGAAGTGATTCATTGCCATAGTCAGCCAGTTAGTGAATAATTATTTGGAAGCTGCCAAGATGTGGTTTTATGGTGTTAGGATGGATGAATCAGTAGAGACCGTGGACATATAAATAAGTGTAATGAATGTAATGTAATGTCAAGTCTTGAAAGAAAAGAACTCACAAAGAGCACTTTGCTCACTCTAGAAGGAGATAATCTATATTTGTTAGTCATATTGTAAGAAGGGGGAAAAAGCTATAGTATGTTGTGAGAATCAGAGTGTTGGAGCGGAAAAGATAGTTTGCCATCATGGCCTGGAGGAAGTC